TCTGCCTTCTCACTCCTCGGACACACATCCCAAACCCTGCTGGTCTGCAGAGAGCAAAGATCTGATGTTGTGCATTTCAGAACAATTGATTTCCAACATCTCAAAGATATACAGATTTATCCTCATTGATTCTTAATACTATGAACAGCACAGAAGATCAGATTGTAGGTCTTTTTGAGTCTAAAAATCAGGCTTACATTTTTATGATCCACTTTAGAGGTCAAATGTTCTCTTCCATTGCTAACAGGCTGCAGTCAATTAAAAGGGCAAACAGTTGCCCTCCATATGGGAAAGCCATCTGAAGGCAGTTCTAACTATTGCAGTAGTAACCTGAGCCATAAACTAGGGCACCGCAGGGCCCTTTCCCTGCTGGAGCTCCATTACAAAAAGCACAGGCCAGCAATCACAAGCAATAAAAAAGAAATGTCAATCTCTAGTAACATCTCCCCAAAAAACACTGAAGCTATAAAATTAATAGCCTACAGTAACATTTTTACAAATTCCCTTTCCTCTTCTCCCCAACCCAGCCAAATTCTCTAGCACATCAAAGATACTCTGGAAGCATGCTAGCTATTTACATTTACCCTTAAAATAATTAAAATTAAATAATTAAAATTTTCAATTCCTCAGTTACACAATCCACCTCTCAAGCACTCAATAGCCACAGGTGAGTAGTGACTACCTTACTGGACAGTACAGATAGAGGACATTTCCATTACTTCAGGGAGTTCTATGGGATGGTACTGATCAAGACAGAGCCTCTATTTCGCTAAACTTTAAAATTGTCTCTGGATAAATACTCAGTAGTGGGATAGCTGGATCACATGGTATTCCTACTTCTAACTTTTTGAGAAATCTCCATACTGTTTTCCATATGGCTGCACCAGTTTGCAGGTGACATCTCATTGTAGTTTTGATTTGCTTTTCCCTAATATCAGTGATGTTGAACATCTTTTCATGTGCCTGTTGGCCATCCTACGTATATCTTCTTTAGAAAAATATCTCTTCATATCCTCTGCCCATTTTCTGATTGGGTTGTTCATTTTGTTGTTGTTGAGTTGTATGAGTTCTCTACATATTTTGAAAATTAACCTTTTGTCAGATATATGATTTGCAATCAACAGTTGCATCCCCATATTCATCACAGCATTATTCACAATAGCCAAGATGTGGAAGCTGCCAATGCCCATCAATGGACGAATGGATAAAGAAGATGTGATATATATATATATATATATATATATATATATATACACAATGGAATACTACTCAGCTATAAAAAAAAGACAAAATCGAGCCATTTGCGACAACATGGATGGAACTTAAGAGTATTACATTAAGTGAAATAAGGCAGACAGAGAAAGACAAATACCGTATGATTTCACTCATACGTGGAAGATAAATATACATTTGGATAAGGAGAACGGATTAGTGGTTACCAGAGGGGGAGGGCAAAAGGGGTAAAGGAGCACACATGTATGGTGATAGATAAAAACTAAACTATGGGTGGTGAACACAATGCAGTCTATCCAGAAACTGAAATATAATAACGCACACCTGAAATTTACACAATGTTACAAGCCAACATGACCTCAATAATAAAAAAAGTTCTCTCTAAAAGATAAGTTCACCGGGCTTTTCCCTCTCTAACTCTGACACCCCCAGCAACCTCTTCCGTATGCAAATAAGGTTAACCTCTCAGTTTGTTATTTTTCTCTTCACTTAGTCAGTTACCAGATTCCCCATAACAAAGATACCCAGGGTACCGACAGCGCACATGAATTCTCTTCTGCAAGCCTTTCTCTCAATTCTGTAATTGTATATATAGAAATCTCTCTGTAAATCCTGACATGTTCTAGGGGGAGATACAGGAAAATGCACACATCAATACATCTTGTCCCGGTGCACTGTCCATGTTTGCTAGCCTTCACTGAACATAGATAGCAATAGCTACATGATTTAAATAGACTGTCAGGTGCTTCTAACTTCTAGCATAGGTGTGCGTCTAACTTGTAGCGCAGGACCACTCTCTGAACTTGTACTGAAAAGCAGTGTTAGCACTAAATACAGATGTGCTCCGTGATGAGGGGGGAATGATTCTCCAGGTTACTGTGAGATGTCAGAAGGTTTATGCGTCAGTCATTTACCTCTTTGTTCTCACATGCATTCTATACCCTTTCCCTGCAAACCTTGCCAACTGTCTTCCAGCAAGGTTTGGTCAAAGGAAGGCGCTGACCGGAGACCTGAGGGCGACAGGAAGGGAGATGCCAGGGTGTCCTCATCTCCCTCTCAGGCAGCATTTCCAGCACTATCTGATCTCCTCTATCTTTCTGGATGCCACCAGCTAGGCCCTCCTTCCACGGTTCCAGCTTCAGCTAGGCAGCCCAGCTGTTTGGTTCCAGAACTGTTATCTCCTTCTTTTGTTCCTATTGTCCCCTGGTGTGCTTGTAAATGTTTAACAGCTGGCTCTCTGGGGGGGGAAATGCCCTGATCTGAAATGTTTGCCAATGTCTGTGGTGTAAATACACACACCCAGGCTCGCAAATTCCTGAATATTTAACAATCGCCTCTCAGAAGCCTATTCAAGCTGGCTTCCGCACACTACTGTTCCACCAGGAAGCAAAGTAGCAGGCTCATGTTGTTAATCTCTGGGTTCCCTCAGGGTCCCTATTGAGTTTCTCAGCACTTCCCAACTCCTTTGTTACTAGTTACCTGAATTAAATCCTTTCTATTAGCTACTTGGTATGGGCTCTGTTTTCCCAATTTTATTTTTTATTTATTTATTTTTCTTGGTGAGGAAGATTGGCCCTGAGCTAACATCTGTTGCCAATCTTCCTCTTTTTGCCTGAGGAAGATTGTCGCTGAGCTAACATCTGTGCCAGTCTTCCTCTATTTTATGTGGGCTGCTGCCACAGGGTGGCATGACAAGTGGTGCTAGGTCTGGCCCAGGTTCTGAACCCACGAACCCCAGGCCACTGAAGCGGAGCACGCAAACTTAACCACTATGCCACCAGGCTGGCCCCGCCCAATTGTATTCTGAGTGTATACTGTTAAGAGTATAAAGTTTATTAGAGAAGGGCTTCTCAAAGTGCCAGAATATAAATCAGCCATATCGTGAAGCATGCTGGAAGATCAGCTGACACTGCTGTTTTTAAAGAGTAAGACTTTCTGGATGAAAGAAGCAGTGAATCAATTTACGGTTGACACAAGTTTCTTATCTCACTGTGCACTGGTAACAAGTTGGTGGGCTGGTAGCTGTGTGCAGACCATGCTTTGAGTAATGCTATACTAGAGCACTTTGGAAAAGCAATTTGGCAACATTATCAAAAGCCCCCAAAGTTCTACTAGTTCTACTTTCCCAGAAACTCATTCAAAACCAAGGAGAAAGCCTTATGCACAAAAATGCTCATTGCAGCCTTATTTAAAATAGGGTATTTTTGGAGGCAACTTCAAAGTGAAAAAATAGGAAAACTATGAAATAAACCCATTCGCTGGGATATTATGCAGCTTTAAAAATTATAATAACAAATATTATAGCAATGTGGAAAAATATAGTAATATGTCAGTAACAAAATCAGGAAAGAAAACTTTACATGCATGATAAGAATCATGTAAGAATATGAGGCCAGGAGGAAAAGACTGAAAAGAAATATAAACAAATAATAGTTGAATGATGTAAAGGGGTCAGAGATGAATTTCTTTCCTCTAATTTTCAAAGAGTGACTTTTTTCTAGTGCAGGCATTCCATTTAGTTTTGCTAAATAAAAAACAATAAAACCCACCGTCAAAGTCAATGAGAATAGTTAGAAGGAAAAGAAGACATGACACATTAAGATACCTTTGAATGTTGTTTTATGTTTAAGCGCTGGAGGAGCCTGAAGTTAAATCAAGACCCCCAACCTGCCCATCTGCCCTACATTCCCCGACACATGCTGCCTCCTCGCTTGAATTTCATCTGCTCACCAACCTCTAACACCACATTTGTATGAACAAGCAAACGTTCTGCCTCTCGGGTCTTCTGAGCCTTCTTCCTGCTGCGGGGTGGAGCACAGTACTCCCTAGAGGAGCGCCTTCCAGCTATTGGCAGACGGGTGGGAGAAGTAGTGAGGCTTGAAGAGTTTGTCCGCGGGAATTCAAAGCAGGTAGCTGCCTCCTCTTGCTCTGCTCAGCACGGCTTCAAACCCCTTATCCCAATTCCACTAAGCGCCTGGTTCCCTTAGAGGTGATAACCACTTCCTCTGCTCCACGCCACCCCTCCCTTTCCCACCATTCACCTCTGACCAGAGCTTTAAAAACATTGCTTCCTTAGATGAGATATCTAGTAGTAAAAAACAAAAAACTTAAAAACTAGCCCTCATCCAATTTTTTTTCAACTTTTAAGTAAACAAACAAAACTCATCTGCAGATTTCAACCTGCAATATTGCCACGCAAACCACCAAAGACTGCACCGGTGCCCATCAAAAGGATAAAATAGCAATAAAGAGCTCAGCCCTGGAGCTCCGCTGCCTGGGTGCAGAGAGCAGATTCTCTGCGTACAAGCTGAATGGTCTTGGGCAAACCCTTAACCTCTCGGTATCCATTTCCTCATCTGTCTCTGTGTCTTCATGGGATTGTTATGAGGACTAAATTAGTTACTTTACATAAAGCACTTAGAACAGTGCCTGACGCTTGATAAGCACCCAATGAAGTTTAGCTAATATTAAGTTCTCACTTCAAAAAATAAATGTTGCGCGATGTGACCCCTGTAAGACAGTCCTCTCTGTCCTTCTCGAGGGGCCGCTCTATCCACAACAGCAGGCAAACTAACACTAAACGTCAAAATAGCCACAGCACTAAAACAGCCACATCAAAACATCATGATACAAGCAGAATCGTGATCATATTCATTTCTAGAATTTTCTATCTCATCAAAATAAGCCACCTAAAGACGGGAAATGCCAAAACATTTTTGAACCAATCCTCCAGCCATGCTTCTGTCCATTTCCTTGGACACGCCTACCTCAAACCACTGCCCGTGGGACTGCATCTTGAGGATGACACAGGGGTCTGGTTTAGAAAGAGCATCTCTGTCGGAAATGCCTTTGCACGCCACGCGCAGCTCAACTTTGGTCAGGCAGGGGCTGTTAAAGATCCCCAGCGTATTGGCAGCCGACTCATAGATGTTGCTCATCTTCTTCATTCTGTTTTAGGCAAGAAAAAGAGGAAAAAAGACATGCCAATCACCACAATATTTGTCAAAGGAGAAAACCTCCCAATCACCCCTCAGGAAATTGTTCAAAACACGGTTTCAAATATTGAATATATTTATGATGTCACTTTCCACCCAGTAGCACAGTTCCAGCAAAACAAAACCAAAACAACAACAAAACCCAACAGTTGTTGGTGCACTTGACTAAGAACACTATTTTCCTATATGATTCGCATATATTTGCATAGTATAATTTTTGGTCTGTGAAATAAAATTAATGAATTAGTGTAATAGACTGCAAACTGTAATCCAGTTGTTTTTTTTTTTTTAAAGATTTTTTTTTTATTATTTCCTTTTTCTCCCCAAAGCCCCGTGGTACATAGTTGTATATTCTTCGTTGTGGGTCCTTCTAGTTGAGGTATGTGGGATGCTGCCTCAGCATGGTTCGATGAGCAGTGTCATGTCCGCGCCCAGGATTCGAACTGACGAAACACTGGGCCACCTGCAGCAGAGCGCGCGAACTTAACCACTCGGCCACGGGGCCAGCCCCGTAATCCAGTTTTATATTAAGTGTATGGTTTCTTTGAAATTTGACAGATTTGTTGGTTAATCGATTGAATCACATCCCAAGTTTTTAAGACTTTCTAAAAATTCAGCTTTGCTTTTCCTTCTATGTGGTGGCTTGGAGAAATAAATTGTCCTACCAAAGAAACAATCCAGATATCCCTTCCCTAAACTCTGGCCCACCTTCTCAAGATGCAGTCAGCAAGCTAGCTCCGAGAGAGAGAGGCCTAGAATCTGATTCCCTGCCCCAGGGGAGTGCCTAACTCCAGTCTCACCTTCTCCCTTCCTGCTTCCTTCCACCTGCCACAGAATCCAGAATCACAATGAGGAAAGTAAGGGGGAGACTGTGTGAGAGGAAAAGCACAAAGCCACGGATTCTGAACTCATGGAAAGAGCAGCCACAAATAAACACTGCAGGCCCCCTACCCATCCACGTGATAACCTTCACAGTAACGCTTTGCATCATGGAGGCCCTGGGCTATAGGGATCCCCCAGAAGCCACCAACACTCTCCTCCTCTGAGGAAGCCTGCAGCTTTCAGGATAGTGGGAGATTCTCCTGGCAGTAAAATATCCTTCTCATGGAATTATGTTTCCTTGCAGATTCCTTGCGAAAAATGGCAATGGCTTTCTCAACTTCCCACAGCATTGATGCCCTACAGCGGAATTTCTTCATAAAATGAGCATACTCCTTCCTTCTTCCTTCCCTTCCCCCAAAAATATTCAGCAAATTCCCCTTGGTACCCAGCACCACACTAGGTTCAAGTACACCATACCACCTCTTTCACACGGTGATAGTTGTACCTCAGCTTTACATACACACACACACACACACACACACACACCCCCACTGGTCTCTCCAAATTTACCCGCTAGCTCCATGCCAAAGCCAAGCCTTTTCCAACCTGACAATGCCCCTCCCTCATGACACATGTCACCAGAATTTTCTCTGCCAAAGTTCTCTCACAAGGCTCTCCACTCTTGCTCTCTAGTCTTCTTCCTCTTTCTTTGTCTCTTTCTCTTTCTTTTTTCCTTCTTCCTTTCTACTTCCTTCCTTTCTTTCACCTTCCAGCTCTCTAGTGCCCCATTTATCTAATTATTGTGAACATATATTTTGCCCTGTATATGCCCAAAGGAAATTGTACTGAATGCCAAATAGTTATATCCTAGAACAGGAGTAGACAAACTACGGCCTGTGTGCCAAATCTGGCTCAGCACTTGTTTTGCTAAATAAAGTTTTACTGGAACTCAATCACGCTCATTCCTTTACACATTGTGAGTGGTTGCTTTTGCTACAATTGCAGAGCCGAGTAGTTGCAACAGAGACTTCATGGCCTGCAAAGCTTAAAATACTAACTATCTGCCCTCTTCAGAAAATGTTTTCCAACCTCTGTTCTAAAATATCAGCTAACAGAAAGTTGCCGTCGGGGAGGAGCCGCGATTCCGCTTTAGTGTGCATTGTGAGATTAGTCTGAGGATGAGAGTTGCTCTATCTTCCACCATAGTGAACATTAATAGGGACTTTGGGACACTTGTTTTTTTACATATGAGAAAATTTAAGCTCAGAGACAAGTGGCACCTTGCCCATGTTGCACAATAATTCTAGTGGCAGAGCTGGGGCTGGAATATCAGTTTTCTATCTCCCAGCTCAATGCTATTCTTACCACAGGTAAAACCTTTAGCTGGAGAACTGGCTGAATCTACCAAGGAACAGTGGATTTGATAATATCCTTGATTTATTTCACCTCCATACATAATCATACTTTCCTTCTATTTTTAAATAAATTTTATTCATGTACATAGAAAATGCATAAGTCACAAATGCACAATTAATAAATTATTGTTCCTCTGTTTTACAGGTTGTGAGCAGACCAATTACTCGAACAACATAGAAGACAGCGTACATGAAATGCAATGTATAGAAACGTGACTGGAGAGAAGGAATAGACTAGCGGGAAGATGGCTTTGTGGTCAGACAGTGTTGGAAGCATGTTGTAAACTCTTTATTAACTTTTTGATAAGGACAGCTTATTCTTCAATCAATGTCTTCCTAAATTCTGCTTTCCCCAATGCATTCACCAGCTCCTTGGAATCACATTGCTCCTCTGTAGTTCTGAGTGGCCTCTCGCATCTGTGGGAGGCACTGCTGTCTCTTCTAACTGCCCCTATACTTACAGGCTCATGCCTTTGTCCATCCCCTTTCTTTTTTTTTTTTTTCTTAAAGACTTTATTTTTTAGAGCAGTTTTAGGTTCATAGCAAAACTGAGAAGAAGGTTCAGAGATATCCCATACGCCCCCTTCCTCAACACATGCACAGCCTCCCCCATTATCAACATCCCCTGCTAGAGGGGTACATTGCTACAACTGATGAACCTACATTGACACCTCATTGTTATCCAAAGTCTGTAGTTGACATTAGGGTTCACTCTTGCTGTTGTACATTCTGTGGGTTTGGACCAATATATAATGACACGTATCCACCTTATAGTGTCATACAGAGTGGTTTCACTGCCCTAAATATCCTCTGTGCTCCACCTGTTCATCCTTCCATCCTTCCTAACCCCTGGCAACCACTAATCTTTTTACTACCTCCACAGTTTTGCCTTTTGCCAGAATGTTATATAGTTGGGATCACAGAGCATGCACCTTTTCAGGTTGGTTCCTTTCATCCATCTGCTTTCTTGAACTACTGACTCCTTTCTATAGAACACAAGCTTTTTCAATAGAATGGAACATCTTCTCTAATGCCTAGTTTCAACTGTGAGGTGTAATAGAAAAATGACTCAATATAGGAGACACATAGTTCCTTCCAGGTCCAAATCCTGGCTCTTCTACTAACCATGTGACCCTCAGCAGGGTACTTAACCTCTCTCATATTAATACTTACCTTGAACAGTTGCTACGATGGGCAGATGAAATAATATATGTAAAGTGATTAGCACAATGCCAGGTATATAGTAGATGCTCCAAAAATGGAGCTATTATTATTACAATCTGACTGCTCTCAAGATTAAATCATTCATTCTCTTACTGCCAACTGGAACTCTCTTAGAATTCCTGCTACTACAGTAGTTTAAGATCAAAGTTCTACTATCCCCTTTAAATGCATTCTGTCTTTGCAGCCCACACAATCTGGGCATACCACCCCCCACCAAAACACACAGCCACCTCTCAGATCAGTCATTTGTCTGAGGATTCGTACACATTAGTGGACAATTCTCACATGTTCAAAAGGCAGAAAGCAAAACAATGGTGACAATCTAATCACATGTGCCAAAAGCTGTCCAAACTAACTTAAAATTATTAAGAAGGCTTCTTGAAATATGGATTTACACACATAGTCATTAACGATATATCATATACTATATGTGTATGTAGTATTCTGAGTTATTTATTAGTTGATAGTAAATTTAAGTAGTTTATAAATGAATAAATAAATGAGCTGGGGCACATGTTTAGAGTTTTTTTTTTAACCAATGGAGGATATGATCCAAAAATTTTATAGATCATTCTTTTAGGCAATAGGAAACACTTGGAGGATTTAGAGCTGGGAAAATGGACGTGATTACATAAGCACTTGATAAAGATCAATCTGGTACTGAAATGATGTTTGGACTGGAGAAGAGAAAAAGGTTTGTGATTGTCTAAGGCTGTGATTCTGGTCATTGTCTAATACTCCCTTGCCTGTTGATTCTCCTCCCTTCTTCTCCTGCTCAGAGACCCACAGGCTAACCTCTTTTGACTTCCAGCTCATTGTTGGCTAGCTTCCTGTTGCGGTGGTCTGAATGTTTGTGTCCCTTCAAAATTCCTATGTTGAAATCCTAACCCCTAAACGTGTCGGTATTAGGAGGTGGGGCCTTTGGGAGGTGATTAGGATGTGAGGGTAGGATTCTCAGGAATGGGATTAGTGCTTTTGTAAAAGAGATCCCACAGAGCTCCCTAGACCCTCCCACCATGTGAAGATACAACAGCAAGTCTGTAACCCAGAAGAGGGCCCTCACCCAACCATGCTGGCATCCTGATCTTGGACTCCCAGGCTCTAGAACTATGAGAAATCAATTTCTGTTGTTTATAAGCTACCCAGTCTGTGGTATTTTGTTACTGCAGTCTGAATGGACTAAGACACTTATTGGGTTTGATTAAAAGAATGCAGATCCAGGGAAGAGAGAAGAGAGAGAACTACATATTTCTTCCCAACTTTCATCCTTAGAGGTGGCCAAGTCCCTACATGACCTGAGTCCTCTCAGACAACTATCTCCAGGGCTCCAGCTCCCACTGTGCTTTGGTAATACTGTTTCCTCCTTTTGCTCCTTCAGGTTTTTCTGCAAGTCTTAAGTTGGGCATCCAAGAGGCAGAGCCTGAAATAGGGACTCAGACACCTTTGATCAATGGAGCAGAGGGCAGAAAAGAAGTGAAGTAAGCAAGGAGTT